TTTTTTTTTGGCGGAAAGGAGAGGGGGAAGAGAAGAGGGCGAGAGGAGGAGTATTAGCCGTATTTAACCACGTCGGAACAGAGGCAAATAAAAGTAGTAGACAATAGTAGTGGGCGTCTCTCACGGTGTAAGTACAACCACCTTAACTTTCACCGTCAGTTATATCCTATTGAATGTCGCCACTCTAAAGTGCCTATAACGAAGTGTGACCCGATAAGTCGGAAAGTGGAATTGCGCTCTACAGTGGAATGCGAGACTAGCTATGTAATTTACTTAAGGTTTAAATCTGCTTACCTCGGGATATGGAGCCCAGAACCATAGCCTTGAATAAAATGCGACTGGTGTCGACAAAGTTTCCGGAGCACAATCGCTCCACATCGGGCGGGAGATCCTACCCACTCACTATCCTCTCGACGTTTCGAATGGTGGGACAGGCGCGCAAAGACGGGGACTTCGGGTCGAGCGTACGGGCCCACCTATTTACGTGCGGCTTATCCTGTTTCGAGCTTCCTTTCCTTTCGACACCTTTTGAGCCGGAGATCCCCCAAAGACGAAAGGCCGGACTCGAACTGCTTTAACCCCTCTCTCGGCGGCTGATTCTACGGTTCGTTCATTACTGCCAATCTGGCATGCGCAGGAAACGCACATTTTCGGGCAGGTAACTGCAGACGCAGTCGTACCAAATCCGGTCCTCATGTGCCTTTCCCGAAACTATTCAGTATGTTAGTGGAACCAAGGGCGTTCTTTGTCGTCGCCAAGCCAAAAAGGCCCGGCATGGGCTTACATAGAACAAGCACCCCGTCAGAGGGCTCCTTCCCCACTACCCCGGGCTCGACAACGGCTTTTTCACCCTCCGTGATCCTGCACGCTCTACACTCACCCAAGATCGCCTTTGGGTCCGGCTGACCCCAATTCTCAGTGACGGTATCCTCCAGTCCCGTCTTAACTAGGTCCAAGCGATCTGGACAGCCCTCGGGGTAGTAAATGGCAATCTTCACCCTCTTTCTCTCCTTGGCGAGTAATTCGGCGTCACCATTCACGGGGAGGGCATGAACTTCGACGCCAGCTTGCAGACCGTTGATCACATCAGACCACATACATACTTCCTCTGCGGACACGGTCAGTTTTCGGAATTATCTAAAGACGTGCCGCCGCTGTTCACCTACCTGGCGAATCAACTTCCCAGACGAGGTGCACGGCACGTAAGCGGCTTCGTTGATCATGAGCGATGTTGCGAAGATAGGGAATGAATGAGGCGACGTGGCAGCCTCGCTTAGCAACCATTACCACAATTTCAAAACCCCTCAGCGATACACTTGGCCCATATGGACCCCGTAAAAGGACGGGAAAGGTTCGCTTCTCGCAAGGGAGAACAAGGCAGTCTCTCGAACACTTCTCCGACAGAATAGTTTTCCAAGGCGGAGACGGCTCCGGGGATGAATCGACGGGCTGCTGAAACAGCATGGAGGTGAAGGAGGACCGCATCTCGACAAACATTTCCAGTGAGTGTCCCTCCGATCCGGGGACGCCCATAAATGGATGACTTTGGAGAGTCCCAAAATTCGTGATTCCCGGAGCTACTAAGTGTAAGTACTGGCCCGGGCGGACGCGACGTCCTTGCCACTTATGTACGGTGATCCTCATGTAGCGTGAATCTCGGGCGAGCGTATACCCTCGGGCGATGTACCATCTCTTAGGCACGAGTCCATTGATCCAGACCGTGAAGCCCATAACCACCAACAGTGAAAGGGCAAAGGCAAGAGTCGCGGTGGAGAGCGCACAGTACGACACTTTCGCTCCCGGCGTTGCGTGCCGCCATAGACCAATAAGACATATAAAGCCGAGAAGCCGGTGGACCCATAGGAACGACTCGTAGAAATGGATGCGCCACCGTACCAGCGTCGAAATCGCAATCAGCAAGATGGAGGAGAATACCTCAAGGATCGGTGAAGTTAACATGTGGCGGCTACGAAGACCATAGTGAAACAAGGGGGACAACTTCAACATACCACTTGATTCCACGTCCAGAGCGAGGAGGAATTTTTCTGCGGGACCGTATTCCAGGAGAGGATAGCGTGCATCAGTCCCAGAGTAATACAGGCTGCCCCCATCACGCGATGGACGCGGCTATAATCCCGGAGGAGTAGACCAAAGATGGTGGCTGGGATATCGTGGGCCGTTCCAAAGTATAGAGGGACCATATTAACCACGGCTAAGACGCCCAGCCGCCTTCGTAGCTCTTGGATAGACAACCAGGGGAGTGTGGCGACGATGACATTAACCGCTGCGAACCCTAACAACATAATACACTCGAGCATTGTCCATGGCTGGAAGTATTGATTGCCGCCGAAGAGGCGAGGATATGTCAAGAATCGGCTCACAAAGAGGTTGGTTTTACGGAACCGGCGTGTGAGCGAGCTTGCAGACAGTCTACTGGCCGGAATGCATGAGCCGAGCAGCACGGCCACGGTAATGGCATAGACTTCAACGCCGCCGAGACTGACCATACTGCCACGTTCAAAGAAGTAAACGCAAATCGAATAGGTTCTGATATATAGTTGTGCGGCAAAAGCGAACAGAAAAGGAAAGTATTCTCATTCTCAGCTTTGAGGCCTTTGCGTCAAATTTCAGGTCACGGTGGTTTTCACAGTTATTCAGAAAGCGCCCAATGAGTCGATAACGTAGGGGTATGAGTCACACAGACAAGGGAGAAGGAACGAGCCTACATCTTATATGAGAATGAAATGTAATAAGGAGGTATGCTGGTCGGCGAACTCGACGGGAGCAAAGAGAAGGTATCAGCAGGGGTTATCTACTCTTATCTTCACCAGCGTCATACTACTATCCGCCAAAGAGAAAAATGAACTGACCCTAGTGGTGACACTTAGGTGATTATAATTGTAGCTTAGCGTCTATCGATGTTTATTTTCCCATATAAAGCTAGGGCAGGTACTCGTGGACACGCTGATCGACTTGACAGTTTCCCTCTACTAAGGAGGGGGGCCGGGGGGGGGG